GCAGGGAATATAATTGGCATTTCCAGAATAGAAGGAAATCCCTTTGTAAAAAAAAGCTACAGAGAGAATCTGTAGTTACTGCAAAGTAAACTTGCCTATTTTAGCTCTCAAAATGCATGAAGGTGTAAGCCTGGCTAAAATGGAGTAAACAGGCCTTTTGGTTAAAAGCAGGGTTGGGTATGTCAGGTTGTGCTCCATGTGAGTGATATGCAGCAGCACAACCAGAATTCTCACTAGCACTGGAAAGAATGATGAGGACAACAAAGCCTTTAACAGAACTCGTAACTAAACCAGTGCAGGTTCCAAAATGGCATCTAACTAAAACTCGGGAGCTTGGCAGCATGGAAGGGAGATCACCCAGACAGCTCAAAATCATCTCACTGATTAAGATTATACTTTCTGAGACTTGCTTAAAACCATCTTCCTACATTTATTTATACTGTGCCTCTGTCAAAGCTTCATACCCATTTGAAATGCTGGGGTCTGAACCCTGAGCCCCGAATTAAGGTTGACATATGGGTGATTCCCACAACCCTTCATACAGAGGGGGTGAGTTTGCCTTATAGCTTCCCCCCAGGGTGCGGCCGGCCCTGCAGGGAGAGCCAGAAGGGAAATGAGCTCCAGGGGTCCCGCATTGAGTTGACAAAGGTCAGGTGTCTGCTTGGGGATAAAAGCTGGGACCACGTGCAGGGAGTCAGGAGTGTCTGTCTGTGGGGTGCACTCCACAGAGCTTCCTGGTTCAGGGCAGACCTCCTGACTCTCCCTGGAGCTGGGCCCTGGTCTGTTTAGACCTTTGTGAACACGGGCTGATCGGGTGAGAGTCGCCATGTGAGCACCTTTCTCTTATGTGTTCAGCTTGCTGGTCTGGCTGTTTCCCATGCCAACTGTGGGCAACCTCAGGTCTCTGTTTGTACCACCTGTTGTGGGCCGAGTTACATCTTTTGTGGGATCGTTGGGGGTGGTGTCAATTATGTACCAGCTGATTGATCTGTTTGTACCCCCAGCGATCATTCATGGAATGTCCTTCTTGTCTACAATACAGTCTGTGTATTGGTTCATCTTCCTGCTGGTGGTGGTATCATTTTTGTTGGGCCTGGTCATTGGCAGAACACCATTATCATCCAGGATTTTGGAAGCCATTGCAGGAAAGGTCTTTACTGGAAGTTAAAGGGTTTTTTTTGTTTGTTTAACAAAACACTTTGCAGGCATTGTAGAGTACAAAGTAGCCCCACCGAGCACCAAAATGAAAATGAGGTCTTGGACACAGAAAACATGTGGGGGTGAGGGCAGGACATCAGCTCATGTAAGAGCTGCTTCTGATGGATTCTGCCTTAATTGTGGGTACAAAGTACCCACTTGTACTTATCACACAGCACAAGTAGTATGTTTTACAGCATCTCAGAAGATATCTGCACGACCTGCACCCACCAGGCAACGCTCGACCCCTTCATGCTCCACTCTGAAAGTGACGCAGCTTTGCAGCGCGCTGCCGCTTCTGCAGGACCTTGCTGCCCTGGCTGGGGCACACCCAGCTGAAACACAGGTCCTTGCACACACCCAATGCTCTGAACACTGCCAGCTCATATATGAAGGGTGCACACTTTCAAGTTCTGAAATCCTACTCTTGGGACCCAACTTTAAAGCTGCAGTAAGTGACTTGAGGAGTCAGAAGTATCTAAATGCTCACTCTTTGCCTCTGTCCATCCCCTAGAAGTGCCCATGTTTGATCAAGAAGAGAACAGCATTGTCCATATTGGAAAATTAGCATCACCACACTGGACTGAATCAAGAGTTCAATTTTCTCTTGTGAAAAGATGCTATTAATCCTGATTGAGGCCCTTAGTATTCCACAACTAACAACCCTGCTACCCACTAAGGACAGGAAAGAGTTGGGAGAGGTACGCTACAACACCCAGGTAGCACAACTCACAGGTATCTTTGGACATGCGTCCACTCCAATGAATTATTCCTGGATAAATCTTTCAAGGGACAGCATCCTATCCCTCACTTTCAATCTCTCTGGGATTTCATGAAAGCTTACACCTGAGAATGCATATAACTGTAAAATAACTTTCATTCCTTTATTCAAACTTCACATATACAGTGAACAAAAAGACATTTTAAAATACATCCATATAATTATATGGATTTTTGCAACATTATCAAATTCAGATCAAAATTAAGATATACACTGTATTCTGTAACCAAGCTAAAGCTTAAGTGTGTACTTCAGTTGTGTAACAAAACCCAGGAACTACTCTGAATATAGGAACATTCACCAGTCAAATTCCACCAAGTGTGAAGCTGTTTACAGGATCTGGAGGTTCAGAATCCCTCTTTACAGGGGCTGCACAACCACACTGTACACAAGGATTTGAATCAGGCAGTTTCCCTTCTGTTCTTCCAAGCAGCCTTCATTTTACAAAAGCCGCCGCTGTTAAGTTGTGATGAAGAACAGGAAGATTTAGACCAGTGGTTTTCAGTACTCAGGTTGCCAACCCCAAATTAGTAGGAGATCAGCAGCAGCTTATAAAAAACTGCCAGAGCCTAAACTCGTGTCATCTTCACAGTCCTGATGTGGATTTGCTCACGGCTGGGTGCTAGTAGCACAAGCACTCCTTATGCAACTGGAAAGGACCAAAAGCTTGAAACAAGAACCAGAAAAGCAACAGTGGATGTGGTTTTAAGAGAAAAGCTGGAGGGAACCTTCCATGTTCCATGATAAGCCAAAGAGCTCCACAAAGCATCCAGTCCCGATGGAAGGGATAACGACAGTTAAATGCAAAGTTCACGTTAGCACTTTTCCAGTGTAAAAACATTGCCTCCCCCAGACATTGGTACTGCCCTAGTCAGAAACTAACAACTGATTCCAAACACCACTCCTAAAAAATAATACAGCTCTTCTTCCAAAAATTGGGGAAGTACAGAGAATAACATACTGAAAGGTAGATAACAGGTCAGCACTTTACAAAAAAGTTTTAAGACTTAAATAATCCCTTTTTAAACTGATTAACACGTCTGATGAATTATGTCCACCTGACATACGCTGTACCATTTGGCTCTTGAATCCCAAACCTTTCCATAAGAGATGCCACACCCAGAACACTGTCAAATAAATAGTGAAAAACCAAAAGATACTGTTTCGAAGCATTACGCAAGATAATCAGCGTTACACACACAGGGAATGCCGTTCTGGTTGAACAGATTATGAAGCAGTATTCTCCATGAAATACTAGGCACAAGAATAAATCAATTAGACAGTTTTTTTCTGCCCAACAGACAAGTCTAAAATTAATATTCTTGGCAATACAACATTGTAACTGATATGCTGCTCAATATTTAAGAGCCTTAACTGCAAAAATTGTGAAGCGATGTTTATATTTGTGTTTTCACAAGCAGTTACAGTTCTGGACAGATTTCTTCTATGCTGTGTGCTCTGTTTTCCAGCTGGTCACGGGTAGCATGTGCTGCAAAAGAAAGATTATACAAAACAGGTCATTCTTCACACTCATTGAATATTTTCAAAACACACACAGAAAATCCTCCTGAAACCATATTTACTTTTCCAAAGGTAATGTTTGTCAAATCATCTTAGCAATCTGTAAGTTTTTAGTTTGAGTATGGAGAAGCTTCCAGACTAGTTATTTCACTTCATGTTCTGAAGAGCTGGCTAACACCATTGTTCAGCACACTGGAGCACCAAATGCTTACCACCCCTGGAACCGGGAGGATTTAACCCCAGGAGTTGAGAGCTCAATCTGCAGAACTAACATAGGACCTTCCTGAAACACAAGCAAGCATAGTGCTTGTCAGGTCAAATTTCAACTCCAGATGAGCTATAAACCAAAACAAGCTTATAAATGAAGAAGCACAGTCTGTTGTGTTCTTCAGGAAGTCATTAAATGCATGGGAGTGAGCCAAAGAACACCAGTAAATCAGAGAAAGCTTCTCATTAATGCTTTTCATATGAAAAAACACACTATGTGTGTGTAAATGTATATAAATATACTAAAAAAAATGTGTTGTATGCATACCTGAAAATTCAGCAACATAAAGCAAAGATCAGAGAAAAACACATGCAGATGATAAATCTTCTTTAAAAATGCCCAGATAGGCTTGAGCATGAGTTAGACTCGTCACTAGGTGCAGTCTAACAAGGCAATAGCACAGCTAAGGAGGAGAACCAATCTGCGTGTGCTCCCAGTCTGCTCACGATGCTCACCGTGCTGAGAAACCCCCGTGTGCTCTGCACCTAGCACAGGCCAAAAGGGCACAGCCTGTCAACTGACAGCCAGGCACGAGCTGTATCTGAGCAGGGTCCTCATAGCAATGAATGCCCAATGAACCACAAAGAGAGAACAATACTTTTACTGCTTGTCAATTGAACTGCTCTAGATCACGCCCTTGTATGTGATACTTTTGTGCAGCAAAAGACAAGACAGGTTTGCATTGAAATCATCATGTTCAAATCCACCTATGCCAGAAGTCTCTTTCAGTGACTTCAAAGAGAATTTTTGAAGGAAAAGTGTTTGTGGAGAGGAACAAAGGTCACTGTTTTGCTGGCAAAGTCTATTTATGTCATTCATGAAGTTATAAACAGGGAGTAGTCAGAGAAATTCCAGAGCTGACATGCCAAAGCAAGCAATCCTAATGCAGGCTATTACATCTTGAACTTTCTTTTCCACCAAAAAGCTTGGCTGCTAGAATCCATACACACAGGATAAGGTACAGCTACTTGAGGCAAGGAAGGAGTGAACCATCCCCTTAGAACACCTGGTGGCCCAAAATGAAGCCATGGGCAAAAATATACAAACAGTTCTCACCATCACTGACTGGACTGGCCATCTTCATTTCAATCAGCAAGAAATCTCAGTCTGTAACCAAGAAGTGCAACTCATATTAGCAGACCTGGTGGTATCCAACAGAAGCCTTCTTAAAAACCCATCCTAGGTCTTTAGCCCCTTCTTCAAAAGGGGAGCATAGAGATTAGAAGAGTACTGTTAGTTTTACTCACATACAAAATGGACAGAATTAGAGCACAGAAAGGAGCATCAGGTAAGAGAAGCACAGAACCGTTTAAGTGATCTTTGTGAACAACAAAAAAAGGCCAAGTGAGAACAGCCAATGGAGCCCTAGAGTCACAACAGACCACTAAGAAATGCCTCTTATGTCACATCTTTACCTGGAACTATAAAAGTCATGTTATTCCACTGGAATAAAAGGACCTTAGGTGCCAGCTCTCACAGAGACCCAGAGTCTCAGACACAACAGCGGCAGCCACAGCACCAGATGAACTGAAGTTGAAGGAAAGAAACTATCAAACTGTAGCTACAATACAATATGCAGAACCAGACATTTCCTTTGCAGTTTAAAGCAACCATCAGAGCTGTTAGTTTAACACAGCAGAGCCAAAATAAGCCATCACAAAAACCAGCTCCTGCATCACCCAATACATGAAGTGAAGAAAACCCTCTTTCTCTGCTCTGGAGGAAAATACTTTAAGAGGTAATGATTTAAAGTCAAAGAGCTCTTTGAAAGCTCTTCAGATGAATAATCTTTCCACACACCTACACAGTCCTAACATGACAATCTCAGGAAGAATATTAACAACATTTTGATTCACTTCCATGAAGGGAAAAAAATTTTTTAAATTTAATCGATTGCTTAATGCAACCAAAAGCACAGACTAGCAAAAACCCCACATAGCAACTGTTAAAACCAACTATTTCAGAAATGTTCTGTAGCCCTAATACCTCTTTAGCTAACATTTATGAATAAGGGGATTCTTATGAGCCCTCAGAATACAGATGAGAAAATGATTGAGCCGTCATCTTAAAGAAGTTATTTCAGCAAAACTTTGGTGTTACTTCAACACAGGTACATTGCTGAATGTTTATCATCTCAACATAGGAACTTCTTAAAACCTGGGCAGTGGCGGAAAACAGAGGTTTATTAACAATTTTGTCCATATTCCATCATCTTTTGACAAACCCTACACAAAGACTCTCACATGATCAGTCTGAGGGCATTCAATTTACCAGCTGCTACAGAAGTGAGTCCAGTACTTTGCCTCAGAAGAACCAATCAAGTACAGAGACCACAAACTGTGACAGTTGATGCAGAGATTAGGAGATAATGAAACACCAAGGTTTGTTAAGCAGATTGATACAAAACAAAAATGAAGATCGAGAACCGCAGGTTAACGGAACACGTCTCTATACGCCGTAGCGTGGAAGTGAACCAGTTAGTTAACGGGCTGATAAGCTGGCACACAGTTACAGTTACATCATCTATTGGTCATGAGCAGTCTAAAATTGATAATTACCAGTTGTGGCTCTGAAGCTGGTTATGAGGCAAGGTGGAATGGACTTCCAATAATAGAGATGGAAAAATGCTGCAAAGGTGTGCCTTCTTTCCACTGGTGAATGCAGCTGGGGAGCAGAGATGCCTCTGTTTTACAGCAGAGTGCAGAGAGATGGCAGCTTCAAGCCATGGAGAAAGGTCATAAAGTTGCCTACTGGAGCCCTTCTTTCCCCTGGAGAGGGAAGTTCTAGTAAATAGCCATCATAAGGCATATGTTAAGTTACTGGATAAGTCAGTCCATTTATGTGTCTCAGACACATACCAAATGACCCTTTCAGAGCAATTACAAAGGCATTAGTCCTCCTGTCACACGTAGCAGGACTAACACGTGCAATTCACAGAGCTTAAAAACATAAAACCTTGCAAATCACCTTTTTGTTGTGCAGCACTCAAACTCATTTTAGAAGAGTTCCTAGTTCACATAATTGTGAAAATCAAATGTGAACCAAGTTAAACCCATGCAGCATCTTCCCAAGTCTGCAGACTGTGCTAACATGTCAGCTTTGCCAAGCAAAACATGAATGAGGCTTACAGACTTCATTGCCACCAGTCTCATGAGCAACAGATGTCTACTTTTTTAATGCCAAAAACTTGAAGTGCTGTTACAGACAGAGATGGGTATAGTGAACAGCTGTAATTGTTCACCAGTTCAACACAAAAATAAGACATTTATTATACAGTCTACCCTTTCCACCCAGAAAGAAGCTTAAAGATGAAAGAGAAGGTGTAAACCTAGTTTTAGCAGTTTCCTATCAAGAGACAGCCCTGAAGCAGGTTCCAGAAAACACCTTCCAGTTTCAAAACCCAGACTTTCTTCCAGTAGCTGCACTTCAAGTAGGGCTGAGGGTCTTATCCCATACTATAGGAATGAACATTACAGCTTAAGGACAAGTGCATACTGGAGTCTTAACAGCAGCTTTACATCATAGCAAGACAGGCAGAAGTTCCTAGGAAGTTAGACACACTCCTCTCAAGAGGGAAGAGCCATTCACACTAGTTTCCCACTGCTGGCTACAGGATGGGTTTGGATCAGAACGGGAACTGATCCGCAACATAAGTCCAGGCTCTCCCATGTGGCCACAGCTTCGTGTGTTCTGCACAAGACAACTCCTCCTTTAAAAAGGATGCTGCCATCTTCACCACCAAGAGCCAGTTACACTGGGGAAACAGCAAGAAGCAGGCGTTTGCTTTTCTGTTACATCACAGCAAGCAAAAGCCCATGTGCTTTTAACAGTACTGATGTGTTTGGCACCATGCTACACATCTACCTACGAAGCCAGCGTGCAGTACTGCACATGGAGCACAACACACATCTCGTGGCCCCTCTCATCATCCTCACACTTGAGTGTACTCATTCCCCAGCAGCTGAAAGGACCCCCAGCACTCAACCCTGCTTTTTCTTTAACCTGCTCACCATGTTCGGCAGCTTCCGTATTCATGGTTTCTACATCTGCAGTATCATGCATCTCTTCATCCTCCTCATCCTCCTCTTCTTCACCGTGCAGTTCTTTTGCAATGAGCTGCCTCGCCAGTTTGATGTTCCGTCCTTCATTGTAGTGCATTTTTCTCTTCATTTCAAACTGTTTCTTCTTCTCTGTGGACAAATGCAAATATTTATTTCTTACTTCTTCCCTTTAAAAAACAAAATGCACAAATTATTTCCTCTTCAGGGAGGCACTAACTGCATCCTAGGTCAAATTTATTCCTACCCTGAAAGTCTTATGATTTGATTATGATTATGCTCGATTATATGATCAAGAAATCACTGCATTAAAATTATTTTCTTCAAGCAGAAAATCTTTTAAATGAGCCTGAGTTACAAGAACACTAGTAATTAATGGACTAGGATGGCTGAAGCACTTTTTAAAGAACCTGCCAGCAAGTAAGAGCAAGTCTGAATCAAAAGAAGCATCTAGTAACAGCATACAATATTCCAAAGTTTCACAAGCCTTGTTTCTAAGTAAATTAAGGACAAATTGAGACATACTGGTGGGACAGAAGATGAACTTTTGCAGATGTCCGACTTGACTCCTGGCTAACTACCAAAGGCCAGTTATTAGAGATATATTTACCACATGTAGAAGAAAATATTTTCCACTTTCCCCATGCCCAGAAGTCTAATTTTGCTCCATGTATCAAACATGAACAGGTCTACCAATAACACATAATTTAACTTTGTTTTTTGGCAGCCTCAACACTAAGTTTTTTTGTTGTCGTTTTTGTTTGTTTGTTTGTTTTTTTCCCTTTAGAGTAGTAAGGTTACGTGCTCAAAGTCAGGACCAGGAAAGACAAGAAGCAACAGCTAGATCACAGAATCACAGAATGCCAGGGGTTGGAAGGGATCTCCAGAAATCAAGTCCAACCTCCCTGCCAGAGCAGGACCATCTAACCTAGGGCAGGTCACACAGGAACACATCCAGACGGGTCTTAAAAGCCTCCAAGGAAGGAGAGTCCACAATCTCCCTGGGGAGCCTGTTCCAGTGCTCTGGAACCCTGACAGTAAAGAAGTTCTTCCTCATGTTGAGGTGGAACCTCCTGTGCTCCAGTTTGTGACCATTGCCCCGTGTCCTGTTGCAGGGCACAAGTGAAAAGAGGTTGCCCCTTTCTTCCTGACACCCAGCCCTCATGTATTTATACACATGAATTAGATCCTCCCCTTAGTCTTCTCCAGACTAAACAGCCCCAGGTCTCTCAGCCTCTCCTCATAAGGCAGGTGTTACAGTCCCTCAGTCATCCTCGTAGCCCTTTGCTGGACTCTCTCCAGTAGATCTCTGTCCCTCTTGAAATGGGGAGCCCAGAACTGGACACAGCACTCCAGGTGAGGTCTCCTGTCCAGTAGATAGTTTTGTAGATAACACAAGCCGGAAACCTTAGAAGTGTTACTGTTTGACTGTTTCCTCAAAACGTTCTAGCCCATACTAAGACACAGCAACATCTCTACTGAACATGCAATTTGATTTAGAACAAATACAGATTTCCTGCTGGATCCATCTAAGTTGCTTTGAAAACAGAAATATCATCTGCATGTTTGCAAGCAATTAATAGCATCTTAATTGCATTGAAATGTAAAGTCTACCCAAAACACATTCAGATTAAGAACCATTCCATCACTCCAAAACAAAAAAAGCAGCTTATTTGAGAAGTCTAGGTTTCTGAAGAGGAATTCCCACAGCTTAAACTTCTCTACAAGGGAGAAGCCAGTAACAGCAAATTCCTGTTTATATGTAGAACCCAAAACCAAACAGTCCCCATTAGAAACAAACAGCACATTTGTTCTAGCTTTTACTTACCCTTCTATCTCCATTTTCAAATGACAACATTTTTTCTTATAGTTCTTTTACTTCCAAAGTATTTTTTACTGAAAATTTGAAACTCTGTAGAGGGGAAAAAAAAAAAAAAACAAAACAACTTATGCCTACCTCGTTCTTCAGGTGTTAATTCTTCATCCTCTTCTTCCTCCTCACTGCTTTCCTCTTGCTTTGCTATAACCTTGGGTCCTTTACCTTCAGCTGCAGCTGCCAATCTACAGAAGTCACGCAATACAAAATGTTGAAAAAGCAAGTTTTTCACTACTTACAATACACAAAATTTCAGAACACTCATACAAACTGCTTTGTTCATTATTTTTGCCATATTTATGTGTACTAGCAACCTGCAAGAGGTTTGAAGTACCACTGATGCTATCAAACATCCAAAACTACAGACTTCAACAACAGCAAAAGTTTGACTTCTACAGAAATTAGCAACACCTTTCCATAAAGAAAAACTACTCCAGGAAGGAGAAAATTATCTTAACATTCAGTAAATTCTATGATAACACTTACTTTTTACTTAACACGTCTGCTTTTAAGGGCTCATTTGACTCTGAATCACTCACTGCATCCTCATCATCTTCTCCTACCATGCTTGGAGGGAAAACAAAAATTAGCCTTTATCAATAATTTGCTCCTTGAAATTTGCTTGAAAAAACAGTCAAAACCTTACAACACTCAATTAAGACTTCTGCAATACTTTAAAAACCTCCAAATCTAATTTAGATATTGATATGAAAACTTCATATTCTAGGACACAGATGTTAACTGAGAAAAAAAAAATCAATACAACTCAGACTTATTTACTCCGTTCAAAGGCTACAGCCTGCTAGGCATAAGCTTTCTGAACTGACTTTGTCCTTTTTGGCAGTTGTCCTGACAGCTACAAGCTATTTAGCAGCTTTGTAAATGCGAATACGTTGCATGTATGCAATAGGCCTGCACAGTCTGCCAGGCAATCAGCTATAATAAATGCATCATCCACAAAGTCAATTTTGCTGTACAACTACTATTTCACGTGGCACCGTTCAGGACAGCAGTTTAGCAGGTTAGCAAGCCTACCTGTGATAAGGAGTACTCGGCTCATCGATTTTCATCAAGCCATAATCTTTGCCTGCTGGGTGGTATGTAGCTATGATGTTCATTTCATCCCACTTCTGGGATTTTTTACTGAAATAAGAAAACAAAGCTCAATTTTCTTATATTCAAAAAACAATTAGTTCTGTTTGGCCACAGAGGAACATTTACAATGTCTTTTGACCTCTGCCACACACGAAGCACAAAGAATATCACCATGACACAGAGGCATTTTCCAAGTATGGCTGTTAAATACTGTGCCCTGTGTACTTCGGTTAAGTCATTACAAACTATCAGTGCAAGATAACTTCCCTAACAACTCACAATAGCTAAACAGACTCATATATCTATAAATAGATCTATAAATGTATTCTTATTCATATACATTGGTTTGTTTTTTTTTTTCCTCAAGAGACTCTCCATCTTTCTCAATCACTGTCCCATTAACTGTCTGCTCATTACAACTTACTGTAAAATCATTCTTCCTTTTACTACAGCCCACAGCACTTCAACAAACCCAGGTAGCTTCCACGTCACCCCTGCTCTGTGAGCTGCTACGATTATTAGCGACTGTTACAAAAGACAAGCTGGTTAGTAACACTGCTTTTGTCATCCTGAACTGGAATCACAAACCAGAACTGATTCACTGTTGTAATTAAGCCAAAGGAGTTTCATGTTACAGAGGCGCTGGTGATGTTACAGTATTTAGAACTTCCTCAATTCATCAGAGAATGTACCATTTTGTGTATATTTGCAGAACCAAAAGCCCCCCCAGACTGACAAAATATCTAAGCAACTGTCTTGTGGCCAGACGAAGAGCCACCTCTTCGCTGATCTAAAAGCCACAGAAATGTTTAATCAACAGAAACTACCTAGTTCTACATATCCTCTAAGCAGGTTACTGCAACCTTCATACAAGGTGGTCTTTCCCTCAGAGTAAACCAAGAAATTTAACTTTAGAATAGCAAAATAATTCTACTGTTAACACTACCTTAAGTATTAATATATTCTGTTGCAAATTACTGTTTAAGGAAGCAAATTTTACAGGCCCTTGTTGTGGGCTTTGGTTGGTTGGGTTGGTTTTGTTTGTTTTGGGGGTGCAGCTAGCTGGAAGACTAATTTAACTACACTTATTTAAACACAGATACTTCCAATCACAAATCTGAACAACATATTCAATCTCACTCAATTAACTCACTCAATCAAACACAACTGCTCTCAAGCAGAATGCTATCTGGAAAACGAAACTGATAAAACAAAATTCCAAGCCCAAACTAAACTTTACAGAGAGCACTGCAGATGCAGTAGTTGATGCTGAATCCCACACGCCACAGACTTATACTTCAGAAACAAGCACAGATCAAGTGAGTTGAATCCCCTTAGCACACAACCACCAAGGGCAAACACTCGTGTTTGAGGCTTCAGGCCTATTTAATCATTTTGTTTGAACTGCAACACAAGGATTGCAACCTAAGCGGACAACACGTGCGCGAGACTGCCTGCTCTGGCAGGGTGGAGAGTCATGAGAGAGCCATGACAAAGCCAGAGCTCTGCTCTAGGAATGCCAGTTGTTCAAACCTACCTATTTAGGAATCAAAAAAGCACCAGATACACATCAGCTAAACTCCTGCTTAAAGTCCACCTATGACTCACATAAGGTGATCACACAGTTACACAGGGAGCCCATGAGAGTTTTTACTAGCCATAGCAGTTGGACAATGTTATGTAGCCCCTATAAAAAGGCAGAGCTTAGTTGAAGAGGAAATATGACAGATGGGAGAAACTCCCATCACATGCTTTGTGTTCACATATCGAGGCTCATTGCCTGGGCTCACAACTCAATACCCACTAATAACATTGCCAACCTTAGAAGCATCTCTTTGGCGCACACCACTCTCAAAATCAGCCAGCAGTTCAGCAGCTTATAAATACAAGGCTGAGGAGGCTTTTAGTGGGTTAGGTTTTTGCACTCATTTCTTTAAACTTGAATTCCAACACTAAAAACCTTGGCTATAGAACACCTCCCAAAGCACAATTTAAAATTCATCTGGGAAAGAAATGCCCTCAGTGGCACAGAGACCTGCCATTTCACCCCTCCACGGACAAAGCCACCACGGGAGAGTGACTAAGTGCACTAAAACCCCACGCCTGCCCTGTCTCCAATTCAGCACGCTCAGGCATGCCTGAGCAGCACAGCTGTAAGGACAGAGCTTAGGCACACCACAGGAAAATGCTTTCTGACACCCCTTTAAATAGAGAAGCAGGAGAATCAGATTTGAAAAAATCTCAGACTTGCTCATTTGTATTCTCTCACATCTTTAAGTATAATCATTTGAGACCACACCTGGACAGAGGAAGTTTCCAGCAATACACACAAACACACACATAGTTACTTTGTAAAATGTCAGATCCCTCAAAGGTTCTTACAGAAGCCTTAAGGCAAAAAATATTTAAATACCAGGAAGGCCAAGAACGTATCTGCCAATAAAACACGTTCTCAGCTCTTGGGATGCAGCTCCCACGGTGTCCAAATTTCACAAGTTTCCCTCTTGCATCCTATTTTCATTAAGGAAATTTTCCAAAGAACTTTATCATCACTAACAACAGTGCAAGGTCAATAATGATGCAAAAACATGAGAGCTCTGCTGAACATGGTGCTTGAAGAGATGACAGCTGCCACAATGAGCTCTTCCATCTGCAGCTATTTTTAAAGGTATTTCTAATATTGAAATTCAGGTCTGACTAAGCAGAGAGGCTGACGATAAAAGTGCACAAAGAAAACAGATATCTGACTCTATAAACTAATTTTTAATCTTCAAGGAAAATCACAGGTGTACTATTTATCATTAAGTATAAAAATATTTTGCTGCATTCAGATGTAAGACTGATTTAATGAAGTGTTGCCAACCAAAAACAACACCTGCACATAAACCAGCTCCAAATACCCTCTGCTGATCTTTCCAGGAAACCACCCAATGCAGCCTGCCAGGTTTAGCCAATATCCTGCAACTTGCCAAGCAATTTGAGAACCAATCTAGCTGACTTTATTGACCCATGTTGGCAAACAGGAAAGAGAAGCTGGACTCCTCCTGCTCACTTCACTGCTTCACAAGAAGTTACTGTGTGCTGTAGCAAATGTGCCATGTACTCAGCTCATCACCTTGTACTCCAATTTCTCTTCATCCTTCAAGATGGTACAAAAGACTGTAGAAAATGAAATAGAAGCTACCCAGACTCAGTTTCACTTTATGTCTAGCTTAGTAGTAAACACCTTGTGCTACTACTAATGTGCTACATTATATTAAAACTACAGAACAGGTGGGAAATAATCCCAACATTTATGTGGCATATTGCTACTTAAATGTTCCTTCTTCAAGAACATCATCTCATTCCTTCAGAAATTCTTGCAAATCATCTCTCCCTGGAAAGCAGTAGCAGCTAACACAGCCAATACAGCAAACCAAAAACTTTTCATTCTTATCTTGCTGACTTCAGACTATATTCAAGACTGAAGAAGGCAAAGTGGAAAGGAATATTACCATAATACAAAAAAAATAATTGCACGTCTAATGTATTATATCATTACTACTTTTCTTGCAATACTGAGTGCAGTCCCAGATGAAGAAAACTGTCAAAAGCAATTTTACAAACACCGAGTTGAGGTGGAACCCTGGCCATCATGTTGTCATAAGAGGCTCAGAGCAACGTTAGGCAGCATGAACCAGGTGCTAACATAAGGAAAAATGCAACAATTCTGATTAGAGATCACTTCTTGCCTATTTAGACCGAGTGTGTTAGAAACAAACTAAGATTTTCTTGTCATTCCAAATACAAACCACATGGCCAGCGCATCTTGTTAACTGCAAAGTCTTCACAGATCAATCCTGCACAACCTAAAATACATCTTACTTATGTCTCAACCTAGGAGAGGTCCACTCCCCAGGGACACAGCTCTGGTTACAACGAAATCCGTTGTCTTTCAGTAGGAGAAGACTCAGACTAAGAATAAATCTGCCGTGACAAGGTGCATTCCCCACACCGTAAGCTATCCTAGCAACCGCAAAACCTTCCTGCTTGTCTTTTTAAGCCGGCATCTAAAGGCAACGTTGCTTCTCCCACTACTTCATGAACAACAAAGCACAGCATCGGCTCTCCCGGCCGCCGTCCCTTTCCGGACTGGGGACACCGGGGCA